CTGGCGGAGCTGAGTCATTTGCTACAGCGCTTAAAACAAACACAACTCTGACAAATTTGGATCTGTGTGACAATAACATCGGTCCTGCCGGAGCTGAGTCACTTGCTACAGCGCTCAAAACAAACACAACTCTGACAAAGTTGACTGTATCTGGCTGGCAATAACGTTGGTCCTGCTGGTTCTGAGTCACTTACTAAAGCCCTTAATACAAACGCAGCTCTGAAACAATTAATTTTGTGGCACGGTAATGACATCAGTGAATCTGTTTACAAGAAAATTGACGATGAACGCGGTAACCGTATCCCATTTTAAAAGTTTAATATCGTGCGGTTTTCTCTTTTTCTTTAATTCTTTGCCTTTTGTTGGAAATTAGAAAATTCAAAAAGTACTAGTTACTCACAGAGTCTCATTTTCCCTTTTTTCTTTCTTTTTGTGCTATTTTTTACACATACGAACAATCTGGTTTGTTAGTTAGACCCTGGCAAGAAGCTAGTTCATGCCATGGCAAAAAAAAAATCGGCTAACAAAGGAATTATCCTGAATTTCAGCCGCCTTCTCCGCTCGCCCAGTCGGAGAAATGCAGGCTAACAAAGTAATGTAATCGAAATATATGTACATAGAGGGCTGTCCGTCAGACCCCTTTGTTTTACTTTTTTTTAAGCCGAAAATTGCCAAATGAAAACTTTCTGCTTTGACAGCTCGATCCCTGGCTTTGTGATACAGTTTTTTATTAATCATGTAATGTGTAACAGTGAACACTGAGTCCTTTAATTTTGTACGTATCAGGCCACTTAAGGCATGGCTATCTATATAAATATGCATATTTTGATAAAATGCTATCTAGAACGGTTTGCTTCTATCAATGATCCTGAAAATTGAACTACAAATGTAGCTTAAAGGCCTTAGCAATATCTAGTGAGACATTTTAGAGGCTCAAAGTTTTGTCACGTCACTGATAATTGGGAATTAACGGTCAAAATATTTACTCTAAAACGGGAAAGGATAGTGAAGGAGCAACAAGTTCTTTTATGTACATTTCAGAGGCTATTAAAAAGGTTCTGAAAACTTTGCCTTGTATGTGTGTTTAGGTTAAATAGGAATCGGTGAATAAAAGGAAAAGGGTCACGTGACTTATTAATTAGTTAAAAAGCTAATAGGATAAATAAGATTTCGAATTATACAAGGCAGATTTATGATTTACACTGTTTATGTGACATTTCGGTATTGAAAATTCCGAAGATTAAGGTTTGCAACCCTTCCCCGTTTAGGAAAACCTGTTTTGTGACGTCATTCACGAAGCAATGTTACGTGATATTTGAAATCACGTTTCACGTGTTTTTTTTCATTGAGTCACGTTTGTAGCTCACTTTTCAGGATCACTGATGGAAGCAAACCATTTTAAGGGCCTGTTTACGTGGAGGCGGGGGACCCCAGGTAGGTAACCCACGTAGGTGGGGTAACCCACCCAGCCATATAATCACTCATTTCAATGTGATCACATTTACGTGATAGGTGGGGTAACCCGCCACGAGTTACCTCACCTACCTGGGGTCCCCCACCTCCATGTAAACAGGCCCTAAATAGCATTTAACAGAATATGCATATTCAATTAGGTAGTCATGCTTTAAGTGGCCTGAGGTGTTGAGTTCAAGTTTTTAGAACTTGTGGATTACCATGAATAGACTGTGTTATGTGGAGAATCTGCGTGGGGTGATTGGATATTATAATTATCAGTCAAACTTTCAGCGATATTTCAGCCATCTGTTAATTTTTGTACCTCGGAACTCGGCTATATAAAGATTAATAAAGAATAGATTCATCAATTTCTCAGCTGACGGTTAAAATGTTGGCCAATTTTCAGCTCTTAGTTAAATCCCATCCAGATCCTCTATGTAACTAGTAACTAACTGCATTGTATAAAAGACTGAAACAAGCTTTGCTTACAATTGTACTTTTAAACTGCTCATTGTTTCGGTTCAGTTAAGGTTTGAAAACATGCAGTGCAAATTGTATATTCTGAGACTACTATTGAAACTTGTGACAAGTTCGTGTCAAGTTCTCGCCGTAACAAGCATATATAAGTCATTGCAGCTGATCGACACTTGCCGGTAAATAAAAGTATTGTGAAGTATTAGTAAGAAAAACGTGTGCTCGTTTCGTTATTAACCCCACCTGATTTTTTTATATATATCGTGCACAAATACGAAATATTAAGAAAAAAGTACTGGTGTTGTACCTGTGACGGGTGTTGTCCCTCTGACGAATGTTAAAAAAAGAAACAAACAACAACAACGCTGTCCGGCTCGGGTTCAAGCCCATGCGCAGTGGAATACTCGCTAACGGTCACCATCTCCAGTGAGCCAACAATTTCTTTCGTGGATTAGCCTTCCGTTCAAGTGTATCCGATAAAAACGCCCACCGAACTCCTAACTAACACATGAAAATGGAAATTTTTGAAAACGATGGAGTAACAGCATCGGATCTCACGCGGGATAAGAATGTTTCATTTTCTTAAGATTTATGGCATATCTTATATTATGGTAGTTTTTTTTTTTAATGCCCAAGCTTACTTTTTTTTCAAGTTTCCACCGGACTTGAAATCGAATTGTTGAACGACTCAAGAGAGGTCCACAGGCAAGACCCACAGGAGGATTTTATGGCTGTGAAAAATTCGAGAAAATGCTCTGGTAGTGTGATTTATTAATACTTTAAAGACAGTGTATTTATAGCAGTTAAAAGGGATGCAATTTTCTATACTAGGTATGTGAAAGTGGTACCATTTGTCCGTGGAAGGTATACGAAAGGGGTACCATTTCTCTCAAAAGTGGTATAGAAAAGGGTCAGCGGTTGGACCTCGGGGTGATCAAATCGATCTACTTCGGTCGCATTTTAATATACTGCACACATTCGCGACTTTAATATGTTTCCTTTAAGAAATCAAATTTTTCCCTCGTCCCCAGGGCTGGGCTTAAAGCTCAAGCTCCTCTGTCGGATTTTTGTATGAATCTGCCAACCTGATCATGGAGCCTGTACCGGTTTCCGAAGAAAAGTTGAAGGGGGGAGGGGGGTGTAGTTTCTCTCTCCACCGTAAAAAATGTGGCGCCGTCCCCGTTCAAAGAAGAAATAGGAAGATTTAAGCAGAGAAAGCAAGATGGAAAATGATCAAATGAGAACAGGGAAGCGCGCTAGGAGGTACTTATCGGTTTTGTTGCTTGGCAACTGCGGAGACCATTGGCTCCTGTCCGATATATAGAAATATCAGGACCATTATGGGCTCATTGAAATATAAATGACGAAACTGTGATCGATCACATCACAATAACCGATCCATGAGGGAGCAACGTGGCAAGTTCTCGACAAATTGAACCAGCCCAGCTAATACAGTATAATGTCAGGTAATTTGTCTCTTGTCAAAAAAACCCTTTTCTTTTGGATGAACAATGAGCGTAGGGGAGGACACAGCCAACGAAATGGCTGCAGAGAGGACGGAATATGTTGTCTATAAAAACCACATTTTCGTTCATACAAAGGGGGTATGTATCTAATAAAACCAGGCTAGTTTGTTAGATTTCTTTCGTTTCTTTTTTGCTACACGCTAAAGCGACTCCCGCCAACCTAGGGTAGAATTTGGATCGATTCACAAGCCGAAACTAACGACTTTTGAAGATTCCCTTTGTTCATTTTTCTATGTCAACGTTATTGCAATAGACCATTTACATGATGGCGTCATTTTCATAATATGCCCAGAATCTTTTTCGTGATTCCTTAGATTTATGCATATTTACTTTTGTTCATTCCATTGAGGTTTAAAGGTACGGAAAAACGGGTAAAAAAACCCCATGCAACTTGTTTTGCACCATTGTTGCAAAACGAGTTGAATAGCGACGATGTTGCGCGTTTTACCACCCACGAATTAAAACCTTTCAACTTTATTTTTTGTTGTTGCATTGATTGGTAAAACGCACAACATCGCTACTCAACTCGTTTTGCAGAAATGCTGCATATAAAGAAGGTCATATCAAAGGAAGGTTAATCTCAAGAATCTTTTTTTAATTTTTTTTAATTATTTTTTAAAATTATTCGCTAATTTGTTAAAGAAGAACA